TCTTTAAAATTCTTGAGATTATTTTTAATAATGTAATAGTTTTAATATTTTATCCTCAGATTTGGTAAAACGTTTTACTAATAACATTATTAAATTATAACTCAGCGTTTTAAATCTATTATAAATCTCAGTTTTTGTATCAGCTTTACATCGTGAGTGGTTCTAGTTTTGTTTTGTTTTGTTGTTCAGCTAAAAGAAAACAGATTGTTTTTTAAGAATAGCTCTGTTTAAATTAATATTATTATTTTTTATCCACATAAAGGAGAGTGTTCAGGTCACAGTGTTGTATTTTTTTTTCTATAGCTGTAGATCAGAAACCAGATTCAGAACCAATAGATGGGAACCTGAACCAAAGATCACCAACTCCAGAAATATTCAAATTAGCCCCTTTTGAATCTGGTGAGTAAAACCTTCTAAGATGTTTTTTCTTTATTTCAGCAGCAGGTTTATAGTTTCTGACAAAAATCAAACTCAGACATTAATACAAACTAAAGCTTTGAGTTTTAACATGTTATGCCCTGCAGTGTCTCCTCTAATGTGTGTGAGGTGGTGGTGATGATGATGATGGTTATGATATAACTTGTGGATCAATGTTGAATGTGTGTTTAGGATCATTTTCTTTTAGCAACATCAGACTGTGTTCAAGTTTTAACCATCTAGTTGTTGAATGAAGGTCATTTAGAAGAATTTAGATCATCCATCATTTAACCAGCAGATAAATCAATTGTCTCGATTTCCTCCCATAGAAAACATTTGACCAGTTGGCTTTATAAAATGAAGCAGACCTTGCCATTTTATATTAACAATCCAAATGAAATGCATTTAAATTTACTCTGAATCTGCCTGCATGACTGGATTGAATGAACTTATATTTCTGTGTAGAAACTAGATCTGTCTGTAAAGTTCCTGAAGATGATATTAGTTTTATGATCCAGTAGAACTGGATCTAATCAACTGATGTCTGTCCCAAAAAATCTGAATAAATTAGTGTCAGAATATTGTTTTTATAAATATATTTCCTTGATAACAACACTGATCAAATGTATATAAAGATAATGAGATCTTATAGACAGTATTTTCAGACGGCAGTTTCTTTAAGCAGAGTTTATCACTTTGTTAGTGATAAAAAGATAAACCTACAGCTTTCATTCCAACCATATAATTTTTCCTGTTGGACAGACGTGAGCATTGCAGGCATTGGTGAAGCATCTAGTGAGAACCCAGGATCCAGCGCTCCAACTGCTCAGCAGTGTTGGGAAAGTTCTCTTTCTACGTGAACTAGTTCAAAGTTCAGTTCACACATTTTAAAATGAACTAGTTCAGTTCATAGTTCACAATTCCAAAAAACGAACTAGTTCATAGTTCTTTTTTTTTTTTTCATATATTGCTCAATTACACCATAGCCTACTGTAGAACCACAGACAGCAATTATTTTATCAGTTGTAACTCTGAAACTGTGCGTCAGATTTCATCTTCATATCCAGTTTTGAATCCTTATCCAACCAGGGTTTACATTAGCATTGAGGGGACAGCATTTCCCCATTGTTGCTTTAACGCTTTGTTGCTGTCCATTCACTTCACACTAGTAGCAGCTGCAGCTTTCACCCCTACAGTATATTCTCAAAAACATCAGGAAAAATGTGCTGCTTGAATGGTCTTTTTTATGAGTAATTATTAAAAGAAAAATAGGAAAGTAGTCTATAAGGTGCAAATGTTTTTTTTTTTATTTTAATAATTTTTTCCATTTGAAATTCCATTTCAATACATACTAAAAAGGAATCCTGGAATCCTGGAAAATTATACCAGGCAGGTTTAACAAACAAGTTACATGGATAGTAAAACCCTCAAGAACAGGGGTCTTCTTTTCCAGACCAAGGACCCCCAAACTGATGGCGAGATGGAGCGGGGACCCCCTAACTATATATATTATATATTGTATGAAATTGTGTCCTATAGTCACTCTATTACAGATGGAGTAATGTAAAGAAATTAATTTCTCCCTGGGATTATTAAAGTTTTTCTGATTCTGATTCCTGGTTGTTGTGAAGGAAACGGTGCCCAGCTTGAAAGAGCTCCTGTGTGTCGCTGAATGTGTGCATTGATGACTGAAAGACATCTTTTGTCTCCATTTATCTGTTTACTACAGTGTGTTGATTTCATGTTAATGAGTATTTAAAGACATTTCAATTAGTGGGGGAAAAAATTGCAGGGGGGGAATATAAAAATATCAACTAACCATGCAGACCCTCATGCAGTACCTCCGTAGACCCCCTAGGGGTCGCGGATCCCCTGGTGAAGACCTCCGCTCAAGAAGATTTTACTAACACAAACTGAGGGACCAGGCTGAGGTAGGAATTTAAGGTTACTGAAGTGCGGATTTTTTTACTGAAAGCCGGCGGGCAAACTTGTTGCCATCATCCTCACCGACCACCTGGTCATAAAACTGTTTTAAGTGATCATACTGCTGCTTTGTCGCCTCCATGCTGCTGTGGCTTCCACGCTGCATTTTGTTTTGATGACGCACGCGGCTGTAGGCTACGACACTGGTAGCTGGTGTTGCCAGATTGGGTGTTTTTCCCGCTACATATTAAGGCCTGTTTACGGTTTGATTTAGCCGGGGTTTCGCCTGGAGGGCTCTATAGAAATCTGGCAACCTATTGAACGGAGTTGAACTGAGAGAGCGTGCCATTCACAGACGCCAGAATGGCAGTAATACAGTACGTTCAGTTCACGTTCGCCCAAAATATGAACGAGTTCATGAACTTTCGTTCAATGAACGCGTTCAGGCACAACACTGCTGCTCAGTAACACTATTTTACACAACAGAAATCTAGAGTCATCCCTCATTTCTTCCTATTCTGATTCAAAGCAGGAAGACTTCCTTCTAATCCTCTAAATAAGGGATCCTCAATGTTTATATCAGTCCAGGGCCTGATCATGATGCACAGAAATCTCCGACAGTTAGCATCTAGAGGATAGCTCCAGCCGTAGCTTCTTCTACTGTACCTGGTGGGTTTTTCTGATGAACCACTTGCCTGCTACTCGCCAGCTGTGGCCTCTAGCCCGCCTTCAGAGTTCTGTCTGCCTGGCAGACTTATCTGATCTTTCACTGTTGATGTTTACTTTATTATCTGAGATCAATTTAATCCCATCAATATGAAGTTACTGAATAATCTGTTTATTTTTAGAGCCCCTGATCTACAGAAAATAACCTCTGTTTTTTCTGCGTTCAACAGTAGAAGCGTCATGGTTTTATGTCTTCAAGACATTCCTGTAGTTTAAGAAATGATTTAGCTAAACTGTACATCAGAAACAAACTGAAATCTGTCAGACAAATAAGATTTGAACCAGCACTGTTAACTTAAAAGCCCAACTGTGGTCAGTCTTGAATTAGAACCAATATTCTCAGTGATTCAGAGTCATTTTAATAGAAAACTATTTTTAACATGGAATTGTAGTTGTTTTGTTCTTAGTAAATCATGTAACGATAAACAGCTTTTATTTCTGCAAGCTTTACAAACATCAACTGGGGTCTTGAAGAGGTTCTGTTTTTGTAACTAATCTAACTTATCTTATCTTAAAGAAATTAACAATTCAGGGTCAAATGGAAAACTCAATAATGTTGAGACAGAATCAGCTACCAGCACTGAGAAAGGTGACTGAGACTTTATTTGACTATTTCACACAAAGTAATGTCCATCAGTCTGGAATCATCCCTTACTTCTTCAAAGCAGGCTGACATCCCTGTCTTGTTCAGAGAAAGATGTTTTTGTTGATCAGGGTATAAAAATGCTCCTAAATTTTTAGGACTGACACAGAAAATATAATCAGAACCAAATTAAACAGGATTTAATGTCACTTTATTTCTATCAGTCAAATGATCAAATCCATCATTTATTCCCTGGTTTGGTCCTTTGGTTGAACCCTCAAAGACAGCACAGCCTGACATTTACTATTTAGTTTCATGGTGATTGATTGAAAATAAAAATATATTTAGACCATCATTGTTCTTTTCTAAAATGTTAAAATGTACAACTATTATAACTAAAACTCACATGTTTATGGTGTCTCCAGCCAGGATGCAGGTCCTGCTGATATGCAGCCTGAACAAGGTGAGATTATTTTATGGGGTGAGATTACTGTCAGTAAAGACATACCTGAATGGGTAGTCGTGGGAAAAAAGTATTCAACTATTCATCCTAGTTAAATAAACTGAGATCGATGGATTTCACTCAGTCGGCACATTTATTCATATCATCGCAAAGAGAGAACAGTTCATCATACAGCCCTTATGGCACAGCATTCTGCCCTGTTCTGCTAGAGCAGGGTTCGTCCCCCCTTACTTAGAACACTGCAAAAGCAGTCAGAGTCATAACAAATTACAGACACTTTGGTTAAACATTAACATGTTATGAATAAACCTTGAGAAAGAATCTGGTTTGTTATGGTAATAAGTTATGTCTGGTCTACAAACACCATCCTGCAGAGAAATGTGTGGCCTTGAGAGAGAAACAGACTGAGTGAAAACTTTTATAGTGAGTAAATAGGATAAATTAATATATAATAGAAGAGAGATAAACATTTTAATAATTCCGACAACACTCATAAAATATGTATTTTTCTGTATATTTTTTTTATCCCACTTATATTTATCGGATCATCAAATAAATGTAAAATATCAGACAAACAGAACCTGAATAAAAACAGGTCTAGACGGCTACCATTGATTCATCCTGTGAACTGCTGCTAGTGTTACTCACATGCCTGGAAGATGTCAAGTGCTACTACCACAGATGATCTCGCTCTCAAAATGGAATTAAACGACTCAGATTAGCTCGCCGAATGAATAGAAGAGGTAGAGCGTAGCCGCCTGTGGCCCGGGCTGCCTGTCACAACTCCAGTCTGGCACGTTGTCTTTTATGGATTTATTGTGGAGAGCACAATTCATCTTTGGAAAACTTCATGGTTTGGTTTAGAGCTGTTTTCTATTTATTTCTCAGGAGAATAAGGAAAGCTCCTTTTTCTGTGAGTTGGTAAACCCTGTCAGCAGCAGCTCCAGTGAAACAATGTATAACCCCTTTATCAGAGGTGAGAGGAAAAAATACCCATCTATTCTTTATCTTTTCCACCTTCAGTCGGCAAAAAACAACTCCTTCATATTAGGGTTATTTTTGATACAGTGATGTTAAAATTGATCTCCTCGTTGATTTATATTCCACAGTTTCTTTATAACACTAGAAGAGACATTTTGCAGGGTTTTAATTGAAAAATATCTTTAACGCAGCTTTATATGCTTTTTATTTTGACCATCATCGACTAAAACATAGTCTGATGAGCAGATTGTCACCTCAGTAGTTCATCGCTGATGCATCTATTAGCCTATAGGCTGTTTTCCCTGTTTGTATTTTGGGTCCTAAAGTTCCCACATTATTCCTCCAGTTGTGACGTGAAACACATTCATGTTAAATGGGTCTGATCTAGCAAACAATCAAAGCTTTATATTCATGTTGGATTTTATTGATACTCAGAAGCGACCGGCATCCAGCTCAACTCAGACAGCAATGGCAACTCCTGATAAGATGGAAAAACTATTTAAAAAGTATGAACGTGAGCTATGAGAAGGAGCAGGTGTGCTGCAGTTCACTGCTTTGGCCACAGGTGGCAGTATCATTAGAAAACTCCTTAAAGGAATAGTACACCCAAAACATGATTAGCCTTCATTTTCTACTCACCCCCATGCTGAACAACACTCTGGAGTACTTTTTTGATATCTCAAATGCATCTGGAGATCTGGGAGGCTTCTTGCTGTCTGCTGACATTCAAATAATGGAGGTCTATGGCGCCGGAGACAGAAAGGTCCATAAAAGTCCATACAATCGTGTCAATATTCCTCCATACTGCTCGTCCAATGTATTCCAAGTGTCCTGAGTGGGTAGCGTCCATAATTTACTCGAAACGAAGTCATTTAGAACGTTTTAGAGCCTAAACAGTAGTGTATAGGATTTCCTAATAGCGCCCCCATGCGCGCTCACGATTCTACGGAAGCCGGCAGACCAAACCAGCGCATTCAGCTCGGCAAAGAACTCATGCTCTTCCTCAACACTGAAGTCCTCAGACATTTTTCTTTCGTTGTTTCTTTCTTTGCACAGGTAAACAGCACATTTCTTCTTCTACGCTTGCATTATCGGCAGAGCAGACGCTGAATGCGCACTTTCTTCCGGTTTGGTCTGCCGGCTTCCGTAGAATCGTGAGCGCGCATGGGGGCGCTATTAGGAAATCCTATACACTACTGTTTAGGCTCTAAAACGTTCTAAATGACTTTGTTTCGAGTAAATTCTGGACGCTACCCACTCAGGACACTTGGATTACATTGGACGAGCAGTATGGAGGAATATTGACACGTTTTTGTGGACTTTTATGGACCTTTCTGTCTCGGGCACCATAGACCTCCATTATTTGAATGTCAGCAGACAGCAAGAAGCCTCCCAGATCTCCAGATGCATTTGAGATATCAAAAAAGTACTCCAGAGTTTTGTTCAGCATGGGGGTGAGTAGAAAATGAAGGCTAATCATGTTTTGGGTGTACTATTCCTTTAATGCCTCTTTAAATATTTCAGATCATTGTATAAATGTAAAATATCAGACAAAGAATCTTGATAAAAAAAAAACTCTTATTAACTGATGATCAGTGATGGGAGTAACGGCATTACTAATGCTGTTACCTTTTTTTAGTAATGAGTAATCTAACTAATTACTTTGACTGTAACTATAACGCAGTTACCATTGACGACATCCCGTTACTGCACGTTACTCAGGTCGCACAATGAACCTTTTTTATATAACTAATTACCTTTTCAAAGTAACGTGCCCAACGCTGCTGATGATTGTGTTTATCAAAAAAATAAACACGTCTAAACTGACCTGCCTGTAGAGAAAGAAATGTTTTCTGTATAATTTCAATAAAATGCTGCATTTTTATTTTAGATGTAAAATATTTGTAACCAAAATAAGATGATTGTCTAAAAGACTTTCATAGTTGAAGAAACTTTGAGAAAATATGTATGTATGTTTAAGCATTTTGCAATGGTTTAAAAAGCTATTTAAATTATTTCACTTTACGTCAAAAGTGTCACAAGCAGAGGGACACTTTTATGGAAAGATCTTAAAGATCCAGAACAGTTCTAGGAAAACATGAACTAATAGATTTTCGGATGAATTGTAGGAAAGTCGACCTAAAGACCCATTATATCCTATTTGAAGCTATGGTTCAGCTGGAATATATACTCCAGGTGTTTGAATAAGATTTATTTAGGTTCAAAATGTTGTTTTGTAATGAATAAAGTTATTGAATTTGCTGAACACCTTTTTTAAAAGACTTTGCATCAATCAGCAGATGATCTTTGGTAGTTTGAGCAAAAAACTCTCCTCCATCGCCTTCATTTGAGTTTTTTGATGAAGAGATTTATTGTCCATCAGAACTTTTAATTGTTAGAAAAGTAAATAAACTTCCTGTTTCCTTCTGTTCTGTAGATCAGCAGATATGATAGAAAGGGTTAAACATTACAGCTGCTCAGAAACAGAAAAAGTTCACATAAAGGAGTAAAAATGTTCTTGTTTTTCGTTCACAGCTGATCTGATCTATGGAAAAGTTGGTGGCTCCATTGTTCTGAATCCAGGTCAGATTTCAGAGCCTATTCAGACAGTAACATGGAGGTACAAAATGGACCTCACCTCGAAGGGTTCTTGGCAGGATATTCAAAGTAACGGAGCTTTTAAAGGTAGGTTGACTAGAAAGCTCAAGAACCTGCAGGTTAACATCATCCATGATTTCTTATCCGGATCCTTCTTCCAGGTCGCTGTGACTTTGATAAAACAAGTGGAAGTTTGACCATCAACAGTCTGACTCTAGAGGACAGCGGCAGCTATATAGTTGAGATCAAAAACAAAAATCAAGAGATGAATAAACTCCAGGTTATCAGTGAGTTCAGCAGGTTTGACTGAGGTTTGTTAGGTTTTAACCTGAATCAAGTTGAGATAATCTGTTCCTGTTTCTGTCAGAACCGGTCCCAAAACCCACAGTGTCCATAAAGTACAACCATGAGAAGGATGCCTGGAGTCTGACCTGTGAAGCCCAAGGCACTGCTGACTTTGGACCTGTGACGTATAAATGGAAAACAGGTGACACAGAGTTGTCCACCGACAAGTAGCTGCTGATAACAACGGTATGAGGATGAGAAACCCTGGAAGAACTCAGTAGAACCTTCATGGTTTGGTTTAGAGCTGTTTTCTATTTATTTCTCAGGAGAATAAGGAAAGCTCCTTTTTCTGTGAGTTGGTAAACCCTGTCAGCAGCAGCTCCAGTGCAACAGTGTATAACCCCTTTATCATAGGTGAGTTTAAAATATTCCCATCTATTTTTTATCTTTTCCACCTTCAGCTATCAAAGAAACACAACTGTTAGAAAAATAAATAAAAAAAACTTCTCAAATTCTATCAAAGTTATTCTTGAATACTTTTAATAAAATAAAACATTATTAATTCACATAGGATGTGAAATATTTCAACCCCAGAAGAAAGATGCTTGTCTAAAATTGTTCCCTGGTTTTACAATTTTTCAGAAAATATTTGTGAAGGTTTGACCTTAGCTAATGAGTTTTAACATAAATTTAAACTATTTCACTTTTTTTTCAGAGTGTTAAAAGCAGAGTGACACTTTTATGAGAACATCTTAAAGATCCAGAAACGTTCTTGGAAAACATGAACTAATAGATTTCTGATGAATTTCAGGAAAGTCGACCCAAAAACTCCTTGTATCCTATTTGAAGCCATGAATCAGATGGAATATACACTATATTGCCAAAAGTATTTGCTCACCCATCCAAATTATTGGAATCAGGTGTTCCAATCACTTCCATGGCCACAGGTGTATAAATTCAAGCACCTAGGCATGCAGACTGTTTTTACAAACATTTGTGAAAGAATGGGTCGCTCTCAGGAGCTCAGTGAATTCCAGCGTGGAACTGTGATAGGATGCCACCTGTGCAACAAATCCAGTCGTGAAATTTCCTCGCTCCTAAATATTCCACAGTCAACTGTCAGCTGTATTATAAGAAAATGGAAGTGTTTGGGAACGACAGCAACTCAGCCACGAAGTGGTAGGCCACGTAAACTGACGGAGCGGGGTCAGCGGATGCTGACGCGCATAGTGCGAAGAGGTCGCCAACTTTCTGCAGAGTCAATCACTACAGACCTCCAAACTTCATGTGGCCTTCAGATTAGCTCAAGAACAGTGCGCAGAGAGCTTCATGGAATGGGTTTCCATGGTCGAGCAGCTGCATCCAAGCCATACATCACCAAGTGCAATGCAAAGCGTCGGATGCGGTGGTGTAAAGCACGCCGCCACTGGACTCTAGAGCAGTGGAGACGCGTTCTCTGGAGTGACGAATCGCGCTTCTCCATCTGGCAATCTGATGGACGGGTCTGGGTTTGGCGGTTGCCAGGAGAACGGTACTTGTCTGACTGCATTGTGCCAAGTGTAAAGTTTGGTGGAGGGGGGATTATGGTGTGAGGTTGTTTTTCAGGAGCTGGGCTTGGCCCCTTAGTTCCAGTGAAAGGAACTCTGAATGCTTCAGCATACCAAGACATTTTGGACAATTCCATGCTCCCAACTTTGTGGGAACAGTTTGGAGCTGGCCCCTTCCTCTTCCAACATGACTGTGCACCAGTGCACAAAGCAAGGTCCATAAAGACATGGATGACAGAGTCTGGTGTGGATGAACTTGACTGGCCTGCACAGAGTCCTGACCTCAACCCGATAGAACACCTTTGGGATGAATTAGAGCGGAGACTGAGAGCCAGGCCTTCTCGTCCAACATCAGTGTGCGACCTCACAAATGCGCTTCTGGAAGAATGGTCAAAAATTCCCATAAACACACTCCTAAACCTTGTGGACAGCCTTCCCAGAAGAGTTGAAGCTGTTCTAGCTGCAAAGGGTGGACCGACGTCATATTGAACCCTATGGATTAGGAACGGGATGTCACTTAAGCTCATATGTGAGTCAAGGCAGGTGAGCAAATACTTTTGGCAAT